TTAATCATTCTGATCACTTAATCATTCTGCACCAAACCATTCAGCAATTGCTAAACAGTCCCCAACTTTAATATTTATGTTACATAAATATTGTTAAAATGGTTATATTTGCATTTTGATAACTAAATATATTGAACAATAATATAAAAATAATTGATATGATTAGTAATTGTTGTAAATAATTAATAAATAATATTACTGTAATGTTTCGTTGGTGAAACGACAGTATACTAAAAAAGAGATCAATTTAATGTGTTGTTTCGTTGGTAAAAAAACAATGTATTATCAAAACAGATAAACTCGGTATGTTATCTGATTGGTGAAACAACACTGTATTATTAAAAGATATCAGAAAACATCAATCAGTGTTTTGTTTCATCCGTGAAATACATAGTTACTCTTGTTTCAAAATCAAAACAGAAAGTGAGTTCTTTATGGAAAATGATAAGGTAATTAATATAATTAATAAGATATTTATGGAAACTAAAAATGTATAGTCAATATTGGTTCATATAGTTTTCGAGAGGGTTTTTTATATAACCAATTGAGTAAATTACGCTTTTTGTCCTTGTGGTTTGTTACAAATTGCAGATTCGCACCTATGGTTTTGAAATTACAGTTTTTGTCCCTATAATTTGCAATTTATTTTTATTTTCCTCTTTTAGGCTAACTACTACTTTTAAATACGAGAAACTAAAATACAAACGAATTGTCAAGCACATGGCCAAAAAAAGCAATCAAGTTCAAATCATAAAAATGAAAATAATAATGAACTATAAACTATGAGGATGAAAATCGTAATTTCAAAATCACAGGGACGACAATGAAAATTTTCAACAAACCATATGAACGAAAAGCGTAACTTACTCTGCCGATTAATAAAAACATCAAAATTAACTAAAACACATTCGGTTCAGAAATAAAAGTTGAGTTTATTACCGTTAACGACTGCTTAATACCTTTGACCAAACATTTCATAAAACTGAGATAACATTTTCTTACGGAAAGTTCAATTAACTTAAACTAAGAAAAAAAAAAGAAACAAGTTTAATTCCCGGTGACAACGGTGGTGCTTGCAAGGTCAACCTTGTAATTTGACAACCTTGGGAACGACGGATCTGCCACTGACACGGCCGGAAAACGCATAGGTGGCCATTAAAGAAGCTCTTTCACAGAGGCATAAAATCCTCCAACCCTCCAAAAACGTCATCATCCTTGTTTGCGTCGTTGTTATTCTGAGTCTGCTTCTTCCCAAAAGACAAGATGGTTGGCGGAGTAATGGCCTTGGAGGAACTAGGGTGGTTGGTTTCATCATTGACGCGAGCATCATGGTTGTTGAGAAGGTCCTTGCCGCTGCTGCTGCCGGTGAAAAAATTCAAAGAAGACGGCGGTGAGTGGTTATGATCGCCGGAGTAGGTGACGATAAGCGTATTTGGGTCGGACCTATTCAACTGCACTTTTCTTCGGACCTTACAGTCATTTGTAACCGTACATTTATAATATACCCTATTTGTTACAAAACAAGATCATCAACAAAATCCAAATATTAATAACTACACACACATATGTATATATATATATGTATATATATATATATATATATATATATTATTGGTAAATCTCTAGAAAAGAAATCACTAAAAGATATGTATATGAATCCTTGTTTGTGTACCTATCTTTTTATCAATTATTCACATGTGAATGTACATTTCATTTAACCAATGATTCATATATGAATCATTTATTCATATATTATTGATGTTTTTCTATTTTACACACACACACATGTGTGTGTATATATATCTATATATACACACATACACATATATGTATATAACTTCACTTTTTACACGATCTTTCACCTGTGTATATGTGTATGTACATGCATATATATATATATATATGTGTATATATATATATATGTATATATATATATATGTATATTAAAAATAAGTTGAAGAAAATAAATGGAAAAAGAAGACGACAAACCTCGGATAAGGAGAGCCATCAGCGAGCTTGGCACCATATTTTTTCCAAGACAACTTATCAGTGTTTAATCCCTGTACAGGCATTTTGTAAACCCTTTTCGTTTTGACTTTGCTGCAAAAACAATAAAAACCCATTTTATTAAATAAATAAATCTGACTTTTAATTATTGTTCTTATTAAATTTTTTAAACATTGTATTTAGTTCTTAATTTGAAAGAAAAATTATTACCATTATAGAAAAACCTTAAACTATATTATACTTGAAAATCTTAAAATATAATTGTTTAAAGATTTTTAGATCATGTTTTTATAAACCAAAGTTGATGAGATACAGAAAATCTTCATCAAATTCAGTAATCTTGACATAACTATTAATCAAAAAAATTTGTTTACCTTTGCCTGGTTGTAACATGAGGGCGAACGTTTGTATGTTCAGAGACCCGAATAGATTGTTGGTTTACGTGCAGATGGTTTTGTTGTGGCAGTGGTTGATGTTGTTGTTGTTGTGGGTAGTGGTGGTAGTTTGATGCTGCGGGTATATTTCCATGGCTGGGGAGGGATAACATCGACAAATTATTGTTAGGAACAGGAGGGTTTTGTATTTTGGGAATGTTGACAGGGTAGTTTGAATTTTGCAACATCTGTTTGATATTTTTGATGCTCATTGGATGATGTTGGTTTAACGCTTCTCCTGAAAAACTTGCATTTTGTTGGTTGTAGTTACCAACTGTTGCAGGCAGAGCGGTGTTGGTCATGGGCATGGTGGTGGTCATGGTTGTGTTGGTCATGGGTATGGTGGTGGTCATGGTTGTGTTGGTCATGGGCATGGTGGTGGTCAT